GATTTGGTGCCCTCTTCTGGTGTACAGGCAGAACACTGTGTACATAATAAATAAATAATAAATCTTAAAAAATGAAAACAAAAAAATTTCCCAAGGGAAAGGCATTAATATTGAGAATCATTGAAAATGAAAGTAAAAACGTGATGCAGAAGCGTGGTCTGCAATGTTGAAATGCTGGAACTTTGTCAAGCACCAGTGGTCACCATGTAGTCCACACCACCTTCCCCTCTTTTTATTTTTTAATTTAGATGTCTGGAAATCATGTTGGAAAGATCTAATAGGGCTTCTCAGTTGCTAGAGGATGACCAGAAGGAGGATGAGAAAGAGCACAACAGCTAGAGTGTCCAAACTGGTAATAAATGACCAAAAGGTTTTTCCTAGCACAAAAAGAATTTAAAGAATCTTTCCAAGTGGCACAGGCCTTTAATCCCAGCACTAGGGAGGCAGAGGCAGGCAGATCTCTGTGAGTTCAAGGCCAGCCTGGTCTACAAGAGCTAGTTCCAGGACAGGAACGAAAAAGCTACGGAGAAACCCTGTCTCGAAAATCAAAAAAAAAAAAAAAGAATCTTTCCACCACCATGAAAGCTGAGAGAGATTGTAGCATGACTAATTGTAGTAATTTGGACATGCTTACATAATCAAAATGCAACCAAAATGTCTGGATTATATAGGGAAGAGCCTGTGAGGAAAAGGCAGCCCAGGCCTTGAGCTGGAGCGTTCAGAATCCAGAGCAGGGTATGTGAGCCATCCCCTGTAACAGATGAGGGGTTTCAGGAGAACCTGGCAGCCAGATCCAGCTTTGCTATGTTAAATAGGCACTTAGCCTGTTTTCCTGGGTTTGAAACCTAGTATTTCACTCTTTTTGCTGATAATAAATGCCATGATCAGGAACAATGAGATCCATCTGTGTCCTGCTAACATTGGGGTGTGATAATTGGGGACCCATAAAGCTGGAGTGTTGACCAAATCCAGGAAAAGTAGCTGTTTTGGTTGTCGTCCAGGCTCTTTGGGGACACCTAGAGCTAGGGCAGTGTAGGTAGCAGGTGGAGAAGCTGGAAATCTGCTGGAACAGATACATACCAGGGGCAGAAAATAAAGTTAAAATTTCTTTTTCTTTTTTCTTTCTTTTTTCTTTTTTTGGATTTCCAAGACAGGGTTTCTCTGTAGGTTTTGGTGCCTGTCCTGAAACTAGCTCTTGTAGACCAGGCTGGCCTCGAACTCAGAGATGTGCCTGCCTCTGCCTCTTGAGTGCTGGGATTAAAGGTGTGCGCCACCATCGCCCGGCAGATTTCTTTTTCTTTTAGGGGTTCATTTGAAACTTCCAGGTTCTGTGGGACCCTCACCCCTTATTCTCAAAGGGGCAAGAAGAAATTTCCTAGCAGAATGTTTTCCCAGGAAGATAGTGTCTTCCCCTCTCCCACCCAGGAGATTCCAAGCACAAAGTCACTTAGCTCAGCCCAGCCAGCCACCTGGTCCAGGCTGATACAGATGGCCTAACTCAAGAACAGTGGCCTTGCTCTAAAAACAAGAAAAAAGCTGACTCAACAGAATGGGAGGGAGCAAAAGTCCTTGTATCCCTGCCAAAGCATCTTCAAAGATTCTCTTTGTAGTTACGCCTTTAAAAGCTTACCTCACAGAGGAGATACAACTCCTCTCTGCCTTGTTGTAACGGGGATAGAAATGAGTTCCAAACATGTTTGTATTATGCCTATTAAACCTTGCTTATTACAGTCTGGGCCTCTCTGGTGGTCTCTCTCTGGGGGGTCATAATCTGGGCACAACAGTTTGTGGTTCTGGTAGCTGAGGGAGAGGCGTCTCAAGATCAGGAAAGAGAAGAGTACCCATCCCATCAGGACCATGCAGGTGGGGAAACAGGCAGTTGGCTAACAGTCCATTTGCAAGGTGGATCCAAGGCAATTCCCCGAAACTTACAAGAACATTTTTTAAGCTCACGAAAAGTTTCAGATGTTAGCATCAGCATTGTTTGTCATCTGTATTGAAATTCACACTGTAGGAAAGTTAGTTAGCTGGTGTCTGTAAAACAGCTGGAGTAGACTCGTGCCTTTGCTGCCTAGCAAAAGCTATAGCTTTGGGTTAAAAAGTAGAACATTTTTTACCTCTGTCCAGAGAGCCAAATATAGATTGGACAGGCACCATGCAGTCCATGCCACCTATATGTCTGCCTGGGAAAAGGACAGGGCATCTTATTAAGTACTGAGTTCACCAGACTGAAACATGGGAGGGAGGGTCCATGTACTAAGCACACAGATGTATGTGCAAAGACACAAGGGCATGAGAAAAAGTGGTATATTGCAAGGGAGCATGTTCTGTTTATTTGGAGTATAAAAAAGAAGTAGAGATTGTAGAGCCCCCCCCAAAAAATAAAAAACCTGAGCCTATTCCACTTTGTCTGAAGGTCAGAGAGCTTGAATTTGCACAAAGTTGTTGAAGACCGTGGCTATACACCCTGACCTAGGGCGTGGTTACTTGGTGTTTTAGACATTAAGATGGCCCATAGAGGTAGATCCACTCCACCCTGAACAAAGGTCAGAGAAATCAAGCATAATCTACTCCTTCCTTTGAAATATAATATTTGACCTTGAGTGTGGCTGCTTTCAGGATACTTGGTTTAGGGTAGATTCACTGCCTAAACAATAGAATGTTTTTCTCAAGAAATAATGGCTTGATGTCTCAAGTATTAGGACAAATACCTGTTCTAGTTGTCCTTTGTATCATGTTAAGGCAGTCTTTTGCCTTCTTCCCCCCACCTTTTGTATTGGGCTATAAAAGTGTATGGAAAAATAACCACAGGTGAACTCAGAACTCAAAAGTCAGAAGAAGGGACTGGAGAGGTGGCTCAGAGGTTAAGAGCATTGTCTGCTCTTCCAAAGGTCCTGAGTTCAATTCCCAGCAACCACATGGTGGCTCACAACCATCTGTAATGAGGTCTGGTGCCCTCTTCTGGCCAGCAGGCATACACACAGACAGAATATTGTATACATAATAAATAAATAAATATTAAAAAAAAAGTCAGAAGAAGAATTCTGCATCCAGTATTCACTGAGTTGCCCTCCCCATACTATCCTATGTCTCTGTGATTCATTCTCATCTCTGTTCCTCCTGCCTAACTTTTCTAATCCTCATGCCCCTACCCTGGAACATATGAACCACAACAGCTAGAATTGTGACACCCAAAAAGGTGGCTCCCCACAGAGATAAGTAGATCGGTAAATTAAAGTTCATTAAAAAAAGTAGAAAACAAAATGTTTATACATCATGAGAAACATAGAAATTTAAAACATACTGAAATTTATTCAGAATGAAGACACATTGTGTTTGTGATTCAGAAAGTAACACCTGGCTGTGATGTAAAATCTTTTAAGATTTTGTGTGTTCTAGCGCTTCTGTGGAGGTCAGAGTTCAACCTGCTGGAGTCTGTTCTCTCATTTTATCTTGTGAATCCTAAGGATCAAGCTCAGACTATCATCAGGCTTGGTGACAAAGGGATGAACCATCTTTCAGGCCCCAAAGCAGTGTTTTAAAGTTGAGTAGGCTGTGTTCTTTCTTAAGAAAATTCTCTTGCATGCCTCAGTGTGTGCTGATACATTTAGTTACAATGTTAGTGAAATGTCTACAAATGTATAATAAGATGTACACTCACTATTCTTACAGTTTTTGGACAGTTACCTATCACAAGAAAAAGGGTAAAGCAAAAATTAAAATAAATGTATAGAACCTCAAACAAAAGCACAAACCAAATTACACTTCAACTGAGCATATCTTAGTGCAATGTTTTACTTTAGTTAAATTGCCCCACGGAGCACATGACGGTGTTATTTTGATGTAGTTTAATTTGACTATGAAAGAAAAAAAGAGAAAGGGGGTTATGAGAAACATTGCTGGTGGATTTCGATGGACTCACCTTCCCTATTCTCCAAGTGTCATAAAGAAACGCCTTCTAAATTACGCTGTAGCTCTGGGACATATTTAGCAGAACTATAATTCCAGAATGTGAAAACCTCAGAAATCAGTTTTGGTTACTACAGCCCCAAGAATGTAAACTTTTTTATATTTCTGTCTCTATGGTAACCTAAAACTGCCTAGCATAAACACACTGTGAAAAGAGCTCTGTCCCGGATTTCATTGCTAGTATCAGCTTTTGCGTTTATGACTCAGTTGCTACTATTTTATTGCGTTTAGACTGACATAAGGAGGCACAGACAGACCCCTTGGCCATTTTTACGACCTTTCTAACATTTACAACGAAGAGAAAGCTAAATTATTCAAGTGGTTCTTTCAAAAAAAAGCCCTTTTGTTTGCTCATGAATGTGTGCATGGTATTTGTATGTGTATGAGAGTTGGCATCGTGTGGGTACAGATACGCCCATGCCCGTGTGTGCAGATGGACAGGCATGCGGTGTGCACGTGTGTACCTCCGTGTCGAGGCTGGAGATTTACATAAGGTCCTTGCCTAATAACGCTCCACTATTTTTTGGGTCAGGGTCTCTTGTTGAAGCTCTCGGGCAAGCCAGTTTGTCTCATGGATTCAGTATGAGCCTCCAAGAGGAATTATAGGCGGCTGCTACTGGGTGAGAGGGAGGTCTCTTACAATGCCCTTCTTTAGATACGAACCTAGTCCTTATTAAACAGAACCAAATAATCATGGGTCGCTTAGTACTTATGCATTGTTACATATATTTATTAAACGTTATTCTAGGACTTTCTTTTAAACTATGAGAGAGAGAGAGAGAGAGAGAGAGAGAGAGAGAGAGAGAGAGAGAGAGAGAGAGAGAGAGAAGAGAGAATTAAGGGATTTCTTCAATTCTGTGTAATTTTCACTGGTGAGGGCAGAAAAAAGAGAAAAAAGCTGAACACATTCTGCTGAGTTGACCCCCTACGAACTCCGCAGGAGCCAAGGCTCACTTCCTGGGCGGAGCTCAGGCTCCCCAGAAACGGAACCGCGTCAGGTCCCGCCCACCCGCAGGCTGGCCAATGAGGCGCCGCTCGGACCGCGCGCGCGGGGTGTCATGGCGGCCTGCAGGCAGTGCTGCTCGTACCTGAGGCTCCGGCCGCCGGGCTGCGGTCCCCTCGGTCCCCTCGGCCGGCCCGGGCGGAGTCGGCCGCTCACCTATTTGCAGGCGCGAGCGCTGTGTAGCAGCACCGGGTCCCGAACGGTGGCCGTGGACCTGGGCCACAGGTAAGGGACGGCGTGAGTTCGCGGAGTTTTCACGCGGGGTCCGGTCCAGACAGCCTTGGTAGCTAAACACCTAGAGTGGGACTCCAGCAAGCTGAATCTCTATCAACTTCTCTACTCCAGCCTAAGCTCGAGATTTGCTTTTCCGGATTTGAAGTCTGTCTTCCCGGTGCTTCCCCCTTCCCACGCTGCCCGCTGTCCGCTGCGTCTTGATCCAGCCCCTAACTGTGGTAGACTTCCTTTTCAGTGCCCATGACAACCTTCCTCTGTGTTTCCCGAGATCTCGGGCTCTGAATGGGAAACCTGCCACCTCGACGTAACCCGTTGTCAGTGTGTGCCCAGCTCAGTTCTCTCAAAAACGAGGCCAGTATGAGCCAGAGTGGGAAGGGACCGTCGTTTTGTTGAATACCGGTTATATGATGCATACAGCCCTGTTAAACCTCTAGTAAGGTTCTGTTGCCTTCATTTTGTAGTTGAGACAACAGAGGGTCAAAAAAGGTAAATTTCTCAGAATTAACAAAACTAAGACATCTCAAAGAGACGCGCGCGCGCGCGAGGGAGACAGACTCCCCAGTTTCAAATCCTAGAGGCCATGTATGTAGTATGTGTGGGTCTTCTATGTGTTTGGAGATCTTTTATACATACAGTATTGAAAAGTAAATTGGTAAGAGGCAAAGTGAATAACAACAACAAAACAACGTAAATTTAATAGTTTCTTGGAAACAACCGAAAGTCCATGTTCCTGAAACATAATCATCCTGTCTTTGTACATTATCAGAATTCATTGAGTAACAATAAATTCACACACTATGCCAGTTCTCTTAGCCGAAATTTGCCAAGCAGTTCGAGTTTACCTTGATCCGTGCAGGCTGTTGCAAACATGGTTTCTTTTATCCCACTGGAAGTCACCAATACCAACTCTCAGATTACACTTGGCACCCCACACAGGAATAATAACTGTGTGTTTGTAGCTATGTCGGTTACAGGGTGACTGCAGAAACTGATGCTGTATAGTTCAAAGTGCTGAAAAAGACGTACTAGACCAAAAGCAAAGAGCTAAGACAGGTGGACTACTGCTGGTAGTTTCAGCTGGACACCTGCCCGAGGCCCGTGGTGGTGGTGGGGGGAGTTCAGCTGAGTCCAGATGGGTGGACACAGGTGTGTAGGCCTACAGCACTTTGAGCAGGGCATGCCAGCCAGCTCAGCTGAAGCCTTAGGAACAGTCCCTTCTCTACTGATGAGGCAGCAGATCACTGTTCACTAGTGGCATTAGATGTTCTTCTCTGGGGTCCCGGTGAGAGTGTTGCACCCTTCGTTGGTTGGCTGAGTTTGATGAGTTCTTGGCCCTGTTTTTTCCTTACACACTTATTAATATACCCATGTGTTCATATGTGTGTGTATGTTCTCAATATATATGATGCTCTCAATATATTTGATAAGTTTATAGGCCATACCTTTTTACTTCTAGAAATGAGTTATTTACCCACCTGTGCCTAATGGACAGTTCTAGACATGAGCTGGTGTCTACTTGAAAAAGATAGATCTTGCCTATGTATTTGGACTTTTGATGTTACATCAAAAAAGACAGTGTCTAATCAAAGTTTATGGAGATTTATTCCTGCTGTTTTTCCCAAAGAGCTTTAAATTTTTGCTCTAAAAGAGGTATCCCTAAAAGGAACCTTGTTTATTTTGAGTTTTTATTTTTGTATGGAGTATGTGGCTATCCATCCATCTCCATACCTTTTACTGGAAAAGATTATTCTCCTACCATTAAACTGTCTTGACACCACTGTTGAACATGAAAGTCAATATTAGTATTATTATTATTTACTAAATTTTTAAGTTAGCGTTCAAAATACTGCTATTTATCAGAAGATAAAAGTCCTTGATTGGGCTGGAGAGATGGCTCAGAGGTTAAGAGCACTGACTGTGCTTCCAGAGGTCCTGAGTTCAATTCCCAGCAACCATATGGTGACTCACAACCATCTGTAATGAGATCTGGTGCCCTCTTCTGGCCTGCAGCACACATGCAGGGAAAACTATACATAATAAATAAATCTTTAAAAAAAAAAGTCCTTTATTATTTTTATCATAGCATACAAAATACTCTTATGTATCAAACATGAAAGTCTTTGTAGTCAATATTCAAAGTGTATATTTTTCTTCCAGAAAGTAATGGGGGAATTTTAAAGTATTTTAATTAGGGAAGAGAAGAGTCCATGTGTTAGTTTATACAGCAGTGCTTCATGAGATGAGCAGCCATAGTTTGGAGTCTTTTTCTCCTGGCTATGCTTTCCTGTCCTCCAGGGGAGGCCTTTGCCTTGGTTTCTCTCATCTTTAAGCTGCACTTGGGTCTCCTTTGTGCTTTTGATGATCACAAATCCTGCATACTTTGGCTCTTCTTTTTCCCTGAAGTGGGGATGGGGACTTAGATTGGGAGCCTTTTGGGTTTTGTGGTTGTTGTCTTTTTTTTTTTTTTTTTTTTTTTAGTTTCTCTCAATTATTTTTTACTAAGCTGAGACTTGTACTGTACTAAATTTTTATTTTTAAACAGAAAATTAGAAATATCCTCTGGAAAACTGGCAAGATTTGCAGATGGCTGTGCTGTGGTTCAGGTAAGGAACTAGTCTGTTCTAAAGTCATAGTGGCTGATGTCTTAGTACCATTGTAGGTCATCATGTGGTACTGGGAACTAGTTAAGATACCACTACGTGTCAGAACCATGCTAGCCCAGCAAAGTCAGTTGGACATAGGAAATGATCTTTAAGATCACTTCCAAGCTTTGGGCTTTTCTGTATTCTGTTAATAAAATCTATTATGCTTTTTTCTTAAAAAAAAAAAAAAGTTTTTTTTATTATGCCTTTCATAGTAGTTCTTGAAAATTTTTCTTTATTGTCTAAATTTCCTCATAAAGAGTAAAATACGACTCAGTTCATTGATGCGACTAAGCTACTGGCCATTTCTCCATGTGGAAACTTCCATGAGTACTCTAATACTGGTCAGTCAGATAGAAAGGATGGAGATCGCTGCACTGATATGAAATAAGAGATCTTCCATCCAGCCAGGCACAGTGCACGCACTCGCAAGTCCAGCGCTCTGGACTTCTTTTTTTTTTAATATTTATTTATTTATTACGTATACAATATTCTTTCTACATGTATGCCTGCAGGCCAGAAGAGGGTACCAGACCTCATTACAGATGATTGTGAGCCACCATGTGGTTGCTGGGAATTGAACTCAGGACCTTTGGAAGAGCAGGCAGTGCTCTTAACCTCTGAGCCATCTCTCCAGCCCCCGCTCTGGACTTCTATAAGCAGAAGTCGGTGGATCTCCTACAGGGCTACATAATGAGCCATTGTTTCAAGAGAGCGAGGAAATGAGTTTTTATAGAGTTTGCTATTTACACATTAATGTCTGATTTCAAAAAAGATTACTAATATTTTTGTATCTGTTCAAGTCAGGCGACACAGCAGTGATGGTCACAGCGGTCAGTAGAACAAAGCCTTCACCCTCCCAGTTCATGCCCCTGCTGGTAAGTATTCACTTATCTGCACCTCCAGTATAGTGTAAATGTCGGATTTGTAATACCATGTCAAGGGTCTGCAGTTAGACTGTACAACAAAGGGATTCCTTAGATGTTTGAAACTGAGGATGTGAACTGATGGCCAAGTGTGAGGAGCTCGGTGGAAGTGTGCGAGTACGTTGTTGTTGTTAAAGAAGCAAAGATGCATTGTCTCTGTGGGTTTTCTTCCGGTTTGAGTGTGCAGCTATATATTAAGTGAAAAATTAATTAGGACTTTTGTGTTTTCCTTTTTTTTCTTTTTGGTTTTGATTTTTTTGAGACAGGGTTTCTATGTGTAAGAGCCCTGGCTGTCCTTTCCTGGAACTTGCTCTGTAGACCAGATTGGCCTTAGATTTGCCGCTTCTGCCTCCCGAGTGCTGGGATTAAAGGCATGCAACACCAATGCCTAGCTTGTGTGTGTGTGTGGTTTTTTTTTTAATGTATTAGCAGAAAGCAATTATGTCTCACAGGGTTGGTGCGCAAAGTTGGAAGGGGCACTATTTGACTGGGTCAAGGCAAGCTACTGTAGAAAGCAGCAAGACTCGGCAGTCACCTGACTACTAAGTGAAGGACTTCTTTTTCATCAATTGAAACATTCTATACATTCTTCTTCCTGAGTGGTTTAAAAGAATTCTAAAAGCAAATTAAATATTATCTACTTGTTGTCTAGAATATGTTGTGAGCAACTTTAGGAAAGTTGGTGCTTCTGTAGGGGTTCTTGGGATGTGAACCTTAATTCTTCATTGCTGCTTCAGGTTGACTACAGACAGAAGGCTGCTGCAGCAGGTAGAATCCCCACAAACTACCTTAGACGGGAGATTGGCTCTTCTGACAAAGAGATTCTTACAAGTCGAGTAATAGGTAAGATCTCCAGCGTGCCATTTCACATCCCTTCTTCCCGCCTCTGCTCTGCAGGGTCTCCTAGGCTTCCTTCACTGTATGGCTGTGTGCCTCCTGAGAGGAAAAACTTGTTCCTTCTATTAAAGCCTTATACCTCGTGTAGAGGCATTCAGTAAATACTGAATGAGTCTGTTAAGCATGTGAATCCCATGCCCATGTCAGGTCTCTGTTAAATTTATCCCCGTGGTTTTTCATTTTTATGTTCAACTTAGTAACTCCTAAAAGCATTGTGTTTATCAGCTATTGAAGTATGTCTGTCATCTTCCAGATCTTTTTTGAGAAGGAAGAAGCATGAGTGCGTGGGTGGGAGGGTTGTGGGTGGTGGTGAAGTTCTAGGTTATTCACATGCTAGGTAAGCACTGTGCTACTAAGTAATATCGCCAGCCTAACAATAGCCCAGCTCTTCGACATCTGCAGATACTGTGGGATCATTTGTGGTCTACAGCTTTCTACCCAACAATTGCTAGCTTGTACATATTTATGTGTGTTCCTCAGGCAGTAAACCAAATGGACATTTTCTTTGTGTCTGCTGTTGGTCTTCAGCCTCTTCTTTTGCTTTGTTGTTAGGTAATGGTCTGTATTAATGAAAGTGTTGATACTTATCAGTGTTTTTCTTAACATGTGGTCTTTTTGTTTGTGTCTATGACATAATCAACAGCTGTCTCTTAGTTCAGTAGTTTTAATTCGAGAACCATTCTGCCAGGGCCATTTAAAATCTTTTTCTTTGTTTTGACAGATCGTTCAATTCGACCTCTCTTTCCAGCTGGCTATTTTTATGATACTCAGGTAAATTCTGTTTTGGTTTGGTTAAATTATTTAATACCTATAACTCTTTCTAAAGAAAGCTTTATAAAGAATTTTTATGGTATTCATGTATTATACTTTTGAGTCACTTTAAAAGGCAGTACTTTGGAAAACCGTATGTGATTGGTGTTATTTTGAGCGGATACCTGAATTATGAGTAGGAGTGAAAGACTGTTGGGAACGCTCTGGAAAGGTTGATGAGAGTCTAAACCGCCCTGTGTTAGGAATAGGTGGATGTATATAAAAGACAGTGTGATAGTTAGGGGTGGTAGCCAGACTCAGGGGCTGGATTTTGTAGGTCAGATTTATAATAGCTCATTAGGACAATCAGCATAACTGTTTGTTTTGATTTGGTAAACAAGATCTAAATTTCTGTAGCTCAGGCTGGCTTTAACTCTGTGCATAGCCTAAGCTAGCCTCAAACACATGGCAGTCTGTCAGCCTTAGCCTTCCAAGTGTTGAGATTACAGCAGTGACCCATCATGACCATCTTATCACAACTAATTTTAATGTCTTTATTCTGGATCTTCTGAACTTCTATTATATTTTAATACTTTCTGAATATTCTTTTCTTTCCTCAAGGTGATCATATACTTTAGTTAGATATACTTAGGTAGCCATTTATTTAACTGCAGTAAGTAAGTATATCTTTGAGAGGACTTCAGAGCCTAAAGGAAATTATTCTTTTAAAAATCGAACAGAGGTACATCATTGCAATATAAACTGATACTAATACAAGTACATAGCCAACATTTACAGAATGCCATAGCATGCCTAGTATTGTCCAGGTTCTTTCCATACAGCATTTCTGTAGTTCTCAAAGGAACTCCTTAGGAAGATGACATATTTTGTCTCAAAAAAAACAACTGGGAATGTAACTTGGTAGTAAAAATGAAGCCCTGGTCCAGCAGTACTCGTAGCCACATACACCACATACCCTTGGTGAATACAAAATGAGGAAATCGAAGTTTTAAATACCTAGTGTCAAGGATTTAGTTAAATGATAGGTAACTTCAAGGTATTTGGATATTGATCATGATTTGGATATTGATCATATAGTTCTTATATTTTAGGCGAAGTTGCTAATTGAAATCATAATCTGCCCACATTGAGGGGCTATTGTTGTTGCTATCTGCATGTCTAATTTGTTTCCCTTGTTGCTAGGTAATATGTAATCTGCTAGCAGTAGATGGCATCAATGAACCCGATGTCCTAGCAATTAATGGTGGTAAGTATAAGAACACCAGCTAAAATGATCACTGCTGATTTTTTTAAAGCAATGAAATACTGTAATTTCAGTTTTTTCTCTGTCTCCTTTTTAAAGCTTCTGTAGCCCTCTCCTTGTCAGACATTCCTTGGAATGGACCTGTCGGTAAGTTACAATTTGGAAGTGTGAGCTGCTGTTTCTGTTCTTTCAGTAACAATGTGCACATTGTTGGTGCTGATTTATTACTTCATGGTAAGCTGAACTAGATAGCATGGTAATATTTCTTGCAGGTCTTTCAGGCATTTCATCCTTGCTTTGGGTTTTGTTACCCAAAGACTGGTATAGTGCTATTGATTTTATGGCCCTAGGCTTCCTAATCCCCTTTCATTCTTTTTTTCTTTACAGTGGGGGATTACCATAGTACATAGTCTTTCAAGAGAAAACCATACAGTCTGCTGATTTCTTTACAGAGTACTATTTTCTTTTTCTTTTTTGGTTTTTGAGACAAGGTTTCTCTGTAACAGCTCTGGCCTAGCTCTTGTAGACCAGGCTGGCCTCAAGCTCACAGAGATCTGACAGCCTCTGCCTCCCGAGTGCTGGGATTAAAGGCGTGTGCCACCACTGCCCTGCTAAGTTTACTATTATAATGGCACAGACAAAGTGCTAGAAAAATTATATAGAAGTGCAGGTTGTCAAGTAGTGTTTCTTAAAGTAGTCAGTGTGCAAGTGAGACGTCAGTGGGAGAGGGGTACAAGCATCTGCTGTGGACAGAGTAGTCTGGATGTAAAGAGTAAGAACATGATCAAAGTGTACGCACAAATCATTTGACTTGAGGAACCCAGAGCATCCCACTGAGCCTATACCCTTTTTTTTAAAATTTATTTATTATGTATATAGTGTTCTGGGCACCAGATCTAATTATAGATGGGTGTGAGCCATCATGTGGTTGCTGGGAATTGAACTCAGGACCTTCAGAACAGCAGTCAGTTCTTTTAACCTCTGAGCCATCTCTCCAGCCCCCCCACTGAGCCTATAAAGGAGGATGGGATAGGTGCTCTTTGAACTTCCTTAACATGGGAGAAATAGAAAGCTCATTCTATTGTCAGAAAGCCAGTGTGATGCAGCGGCTACTAGAATAATACTGTGAAAATCGTATGTTTTAATTATACATTGCTAACATTTTAATATGTTTTAGGGGCAGTACGAATAGGAATGATTGATGGAGAATGTGTTGTTAACCCAACAAGGAAAGAGATGTCTTCTAGCACTTTAAATTTAGTGGTTGCTGGAGCACCTAAAAGCCATATTGGTAAATAAGTTACCTATATTCATTCTGCATTTTACTTGCAAGTTGTGTTTCTTTTGTTATTTGTGTCTTTGTTTTTCATTTGAAAATACCCTGTTGGTGAAAGATTCTCAGGTGGTAACTGTCTCTTTACTGTCTGACTAGTTATGCTGGAAGCCTCTGCAGAAAACATTCTACAGCAGGACTTCTGTCATGCTATCAAAGTTGGAGTGAAGTATACCCAGCAGATAATTCAGGGCATCCAGCAGTTGGTAAAAGAAATTGGTGTTGCCAAGAGGACACCCCAGAAGATATTCACCCCTTCACCAGAGATTGTGAAGTATGCTCACAAGTAAGAACGCCTGCGCAGATGGGCCATTGCCATGAGGTTCAGGTTCCTCTCAGGAGATGCACTTTGTGTGGCACGTTCCTTCTTTACGTCATTACCATAACATAACTACCTATCTGATGCCTACACGAGGATAAACCATCAAACGGCATAAACTTAATCCAAGACATAAGTTTAAATCTCAAGTAAAAATCAGATCCTTTATCTCTTCATGTCCAGGGTAAAGAGAATAAAACATATGATACTTGTATATCTAGGAAACTTGGATTTCTCAAAAAGAAGTGGGTTTGAACCAGTCCTATGCCCAGGGCTTGGACGGTGCCTGGCAATCCTTAGAACAGGGAGGCACTCTGCAAATATGAGTGACTCTGAATGGAACTCGATGAGCAGTGAAGAGGGAGGGGCACAGTTGAGTGGAGGGAACTCTGTTCTGGATTATAATAAGCACACAGGAGTGAGGTGCAGCAACACAACATCTCACTTTTATGGCGCGCCAAGTAGTTAGTGTGTAGTTCATTGCTGTTTAATATTTGTTTCAGTTATAGGAACTTCATAGTTCAATTATTGTTTGCTAACATTTGTTTTATACTTATAGCCTTGCCATGGAGAAACTCTATGCAGTTTTTACGGATTATGAACATGATAAAGTAGGTGTACCTTCAGTTTTGTTTGGAGATTACTTTGTTGTACTCGGTCAATTCTGTTTGTGCACATCAGTCCTATTTGTCTTCAATGGACTGGGTGTGGGCTCAGTAGTAGAACAGTTGTCCTGTATTCCCGAGGCCCTGTGGTTGATTGGCAGCACTGCAGAGAATAAATAAACCTCCAGCAAATGTAAATAAAGCAGTTCTGTGAGAACTCGCCCCACACCCCATGTGTGTCCTGCTTCCTTTCCATTGCCTTTCTGCCTCTTAGCCCCTACTGCCTGCAATCTCACCTCCAACTGGACTTTCCTTATAAAGCAAGACAAAGCCTACCTGTTTGTTTTCTATTCTTTTGTTAAATGCACTCTTTAAGGAAATGTGCAAATATAATTTGAACTAATTAAATCAGGTTTTAATCTTTAATGTTTCTGTTCTTACAATGTGTTTTTGTGTAGCATTGAAAACATGAGAATTTTATATTTATACACTGACATCAATGCTGTTTTAGATTTCTAGAGATGAAGCTGTTAACAAGATAAGACTAGACACAGAGGAGCAACTAAAGGGTAATTCTGTTTTCATTTTTAAAGGGGTTGAAAGACAAACTTTTTTTTTTTTCAAAAAATACACAGATTTGTTTTCAGATTTCAGTGGTAAGATCATGAAAAACTGAGTTATTCTCATAGTTGCCCAGTTTTATCTTAAATCTGTAATGATGATAGACCATGGGTTGGCTGTCATGTTAACGTGTAGAAGTGTGGCTAACACTGGCCTTGAGTTGGCACCTAGTAAATAATGAATGTAAAATGTTCCTTTCTTATCTGCTTCAGTGTGTTAATGTCCTGTAACCTGTCAATTTGAAAATCTAAAAGAATACTTAAAATTCTTGAGCCCAAAAAGAAAAGTTAGCTGGTCGTGGTGGCGCACACCTTTAATCTCAGCAGTCAGGAGGCAGGACAATCTCTGTTAGTTCCAGGCCAGTCTGATCTGCATAGTTCCAGAACAGCCAGGGTTATGTAGAGAGACCCTGTCTCAAAAATCAAGAAAAAGAAAAGAGAAGGAAGGAACAATAACAACAACAACAACAACAAAAAAGACCCCAGTTTGGGGAGATAGCTTAGTGATAGTGTTTGCCTAGAACGCATGAGGCCCTGTATTAAATCCCCAATACTAAAAACAAAAATTTAACAATAAATTCTTCAGTTTATCATCCGTGACGTGACGTTGTAACGCCAATAATACCTAGTTTATAGATATGTAATTAAATGAGTAAGTAATCTGCATCTGTGCCTGGCACAGTCATCATTCAGTGTGATGCTATTGTCATTCCTTACATTGTCCGGAATCACAAGGGGAACTATCCACAGATCACTAAGCTGGATAGCTTACTGTATAACGTCATTCTTGTAACAACTTAAATATGGGTAAAGGTTGATGTGGAGTTCTTAATAATTTTTCCACAAAGAGAAATGTATCCTCTTGTGGGAGCATTTATCAGATTTTAAAATAAAAATTCTTCTACATTTATGTTAATACCATTACTTATAGTTATCTTCAAAATAATTTAGGCTTTTTTGAAAATCAAGAATAATACATTATGGTCAACAAGATGGCTCAGCAGGTAACAGTGCTTGCTGAGTAAGCCTGGAAACCTGAGTTTGATGCCTGGAATTCACATAGAGGTGGAACAGAAGAACTGACTGCACAGTTGTCCTCTGACCTCCACAAGTACACCACAGCATACACCGTAGCATGCCTGCCCATACACATTTGTCATGCATACTTATGCAGTGATCAGTGATCAATAGGTTTTTAAGAGAATGAGGGCTGGAGAGATGGCTGAGAGGTTAAGAGAACTGACTGCTGTTCCGGAGGTCCTGAGTTCAATTCCCATCAACCACATGATGGCTCACAGCCATCTATAATGAGATCTGGTGCCCAGAACACTATATACATAATAAATAAATTTAAAGAAAGAGAGAGAGAATGAAAAGATAATCAGTGATGGTGGTTCAGGCCTATAATACGAGCACCCAGGAAGCTAAGACAGTAGCATTGTGAATTCAAGGCCACCCTGGGTTATACAGCAAGACTGTCTTGGAAAAGCAAAACAGAAGTATTCTGGACTGGAAGTATGGCTTCCTGTGTAAATCCTGCAATACCAAAAGAAAAGCTTGTTGTATGTTGAAGATACAGTTATATGTCTTTCTGTGGCCATATTTTATGTTCGAATTACTTTAAAGTTATACATTACTTAATAAAGCAAGAGACTGGTCGATGGCACTGGTCAACATTTAAAAGCATAAGCCTGTGTTGGGCCGACGAGTGTCGTGCCACAGCTCGACGGATCCCTAGAAATGTGCTGTGTGATCTTGCCAGGCGAGCGGCCGCTACTGACCGTCAGCCCCAGCCCTACTTTACTTCTTTAAGCCTTTTCTCTTCTGCTGTGGTTGCCGTTTCCTCACACGCTGTTGTGAAAGCTAGAGGCACACAAAGCATGAAAATAGTCGGTAGATGTTAGCGGAAAGGGCAGCTGGTGCAGATTCGTAATGAAGAAAATTGTTTCTCAAATTACACAAACTAAAAGATTACTGAAGATCAACTGTTAGTTAACCCTCTTGTGGGTGTCTGTATTGGTCAGGTAGCAGGACAGAACAGGATGGATCGTAGCACAAGCTAAATCCCTACGACTGCCTTAAGAGCATTTGATGTATGTGCTTTGTTTACCTGAGAACTTAAGTGTTCAGACATCTCACTTGATTTGATTCTGTGAACTTTGGAGAACTTATCTTCCCAAAAGATAAATTTTTGATTTTGTTTTGATTTGTTTCTTTTCTATAGAAAAATTTCCAGAGGTCGACCAATTTGAAATAATAGAATCCTTCAATGTTGTTGCAAAGGAGGTTTTCAGAAGTATTATTTTGAATGAATACAAAAGGTAACCGTATTCTCCTGTAGTAGAATTGAGGCAGGCGCTGTACCTGCAGGTTGCCTTGACAGTAGCAGCTTACTTAAAGGAGGGAACTGGGTGTTCGTTTTAGACATGAGCACCTGTTGGCAAGTGTATGGACTGTGTGGCTGTGGCTCTCTCTTGCTGTACAGAGCACATCTCCAGACACTGATTCAGTGGGAGCCCAAGTATTTATATTAGTGTTTACAATTCTAACAAGTTACTGTAGGCCAGTGGTGTTGAGAACTTAATGGCAGAGATAAAGATTTTTCTGACTTCCTCTATGACTTTATTACAGGTGTGATGGACGGGATTTGACTTCACTTAGGAATATAAGTTGTGAGGTAGATATGTTTAAAACACTTCATGGATCAGCATTGTTTCAAAGGGGACAGACACAGGTAAAATATGTTTGAAAGTTATTTGTTTAAATATATTTGCAGTGTAGATGCTATAAGTTTGTTTCATGTTTTTGTTTTTGTATGTGTGTGTGTCCTTGTTTGAAATCAGGGGGTCTACATTTGCATGGAAAGCAGGACTGAGCTACTGTCTCCATTCCCCATCCTTCCATAGGTGCACCGGAATTAAAGATTCATACTACTATAGCCCAACTCTTTCTGTTTGATCTATTCATTGATTTTAGGGGTTTTGTTTTGTTTTTCAAGACAAAGTCTCTATAACCCTGGCTGTCCTGGAACTCCCTGTATTGACTAGGCTAGCTTCTAACTCACAGAGATCCACCTGCCTCTGCCTCCTGAGTGCTGGGATTAAAGGTGTGCGCCACTGTCAGCAGGCTTTTTTTTTTTTTTTAAATCTTCTTTTGGTTTTTTGAGACAGGGTTTCTCAGTAGCTATGGAGCTAGTCCTGGAACTTGCTCTGTAGACCAGGCTGGCCTTGAACCTTGAACTCACAGAGATCCACCTGCCTCTGTCTGCCTAGTGCTGGGGTTAAAGGCGTGCACCTCTACCACCCTATACATTTCAACTTTCTTATAGTAACCTGGTGTATCTTGAGTTCTGATGTGGTTAATCCATCTCCTTTTTACTTTTTTTTTTTTTTTGAGCATCACTCCTTATTCCCAGAATGACAAAATTATGCATATATGATTTTCTTTCTTTTGACTTTCAGGTATTAACTATTAAATTTAGATAGTTAATTTATTTTGGAATATATTGCTGCATATGGTCTATAATGAAACCAATTCACTAATCATTTATTTTTTCCACTGATTTTTGATAACAACTTGTATTCAAAGTTTATAATTTTTTTTTTACAAAGTTTATAAATACATTTTAAAACTATACTCATTGTTTTGTGGATTTTTCTGGCCAGTTTCATTTTCATTATCAAGCCTTTGGGGACACTTTAATGCCTATGAAGTACATCCTTCCTGTTTACATATCTTTCCCTACAAAACTGTTTTAGCTTTTCATGGCACATTGTTTCCTTCATTTGAATGTTAGAACGATGTCAGTTTCAAACAGCCCTTCTAGGATTACATTGGAATTGCACTGAATTAAATATATTCGAGAAAGAAATGGTAGTTTTCCCATTTGAATCAGTGCTTTCAGTGAACATATGGTTTCACTTTCGATTCATGTGCCTTTCAATGAAACGTTAAAGATTTGTCCAGTTAGATGCTCTGGATACTTTTGTACCTCTTCTCACAGTCTTTGCCTCTTACCTGGAGTGCATGGTCAGTTTATGCTTCATTAATGGCTGCTGTGATCACACTTAGGCCTGTGACTTCGTTGTTTCTCTGACCGACCTTTTGTTTCCCTCCTCCTCCTGTCACCGTGCATGTTTACTAGAATTCTGCTTTAGTTACTTTTGCTTCATCGCTGCACCTATGCATTTCTCCGTGGTGATTACGGGGATGGTAGACATCTTTGGTTTCTGAATCTAGAGTTAAAATAAGGAAGCTTTGCAGCCATTTCGGTGGATTTCCACCCCTTCCATCCTTTATGCTCTAGTGTGTCAAGTTACATCTACATGCGCCATACGCCCACAGGGCAGTACTGTAACTGTTACTTTGAATGGTCATATGCATTTCAAATAGGAAAAAGAAAGCCTTATTTTATACTGACCCACATATTTGCCATTCCTGGTATTTTTTCATACCTTCAGAATTGTGTCAGTGCTATATCAAAGAAAAGAGTCTTCCTCCTGGAGTAGTTTATCTCAAGAGTGAGCCCAAATTTGAATTGTCTACTTCCTGTGTCTTCCATTTGCCACTCTTGTGTGATTCCAGCAATGGACTTTGCTCTATGCTTATTGAACAGCACAGAAAACATGATATGAGAAAGGAATGAGAGTCTCTTCATCAGTTCTTTACCAGAGTTCACAAGGGAAGAAACTATATCCACTGTTGGCACAAACAGTTATGGTGGACACTTGCTTTCTTTAAGGTTGCTTTCAATCTATTGGCTGCTGTCAGCAAATGATCATCATAGCCACACACGTGTGTGCGTGCACACACACATACAAAGTTCTGGAAATCTTACAAATTAAAAACAAGGCATAGTAAGGTTGGTTACATTGCTTTTTTGAAGGCTAGTTAAACAGGCTGACTGCACCATAGAGAAACAGACTGAGTATATAGTTTTAAATGGACTTGGTTGTAAGGTTGAGCAAAAATTCAGTTTCTGAAGGCAACGGGTATTTTTAGAAAAAGCCATTTTAGGGCTGGAGAGATGGCTCAGAGGTTAAGAGCATTGCCTGCTCTTCCAAAGGTCCTGAGTTCAATTCCCAGCAAGCACATGGTGGCTCACAACCATCTGTAATGGGGTCTGGTGCCCTCTTCTGGCCTGCAGGCATACAACAGACAGAATATTGTATACATAATAAATAAATAAATAGATAAATAAATAAACATTTAAAAAAAAAGAAAAAGCCATTTTAGGTCAGGCGGTGGTGGCGCATGCCTTTAATCTCAGCACTTGGGAGGCAGAGGCAGGCAGATCTCTAAGTTTGAGGCCAGCCTAGTGTACAAGAACTAGTTCCAGGACAGGCAACAAAGCTACAGAGAAACTTTGTCTCGAAAAACAAAAATAAAAACAAGCCAAAAAAAAAAAAAAAAAGCCAATTTTACCACCTGAAGATCCGAGGTTTCAGTTAGATCATTATTTCTGTCATTCTGACCAGGCTAACTTCAGTGTTGTCCTGTAGGTCTTCAGAGAGACACTTCTCTTTATATGTTTTATTTTTATTTTTTTGACTAATCTGAAAATGCCTCTGTCATATAATTAGCCCTTTTTCTTGGTGTAGAATTATGGATTGATAGAAGTGGTGGTCAGGGTGTTTCCTTTTTTTTTTCTTTGAGCACTTAAAGATGTGGTATTTCCTGTTCTTTGTCTTTTATCTGATAAACTCATTCAAATCATTTCTGTATATTTATTGTTTTTATGTGAGTGCAGTCAAGATGTGCTATTTTTGGATTCCATCAGTATGACTATGAAAAGGTACTTTTCTTAGAATATGTCATACCTAGAATTTCAAGCTTAAATCTACAAATGTGTCTTCTCATTAAACTTGACAATCCAGCCATTAGTTTGCAAATATTCATTTTCCTGCTGACTCTCTTCTCTCCTGGAGTTGCAAGTGCAAGTCATCCTGCGGGAGTCATAAGTAAGGTCGCTTCAGAGAGGGTGACTCCATTTTCCTTTCCTCTCCGTCTCCCTCTTCCCTTTCTCCCATGCTTGAGTTTGAACACAGGACCATGCTACTTAAGTGCTCTGCCAGTGAGCTACCTCCAACCTCTGGATTGACTGGTCACTGTTCAGTGTTGTTATAAATCTAGCTGCAAGATCTTTGACATCCAGATCTCAGCTAAGGATTGTGCTCCATTCCCTGGTTGCTGCTGAAGCTGAACCGTGGGATTGATACGCTGCTGAATGTCTAGGCTGTGTTGTCAATCTCAAAGATGAACTTTCCTTTCAACAGGCAGAGGTTTTTGACTGAACCTCTGTTGAGGCTTCTTTTATGGAATAACATAATTTTTATGAATATTCCTTCCTCTTTCTTCCCCTCAGCAGCCCTAGTGAGCCCCATGTGTTAGCCTTTTGAATTGTTGAGATGTACAATCAGTCTGAATATTTCAGGGTGAGTGTATACCTCCTGTAATAACTGCCATGGCTAGCATTATGTAGTATGTATTTATAGATTACAACATTTTCCTTTATTTTTTTTAAATATTTATTTATTATGTATACAATATTCTGTCTGTGTGTATGTCTGCAGGCCAGAAGAGGGCACCAGACCTCATTATAGATGGTTGTGAGCCCCCATGTGGTTGCCGGGAATTGAACTCAGGACCTTCGGAAGAGCAGGCAATGCTCTTAACCACTGAGCCATCTCTCTAGCCCCCCAACATTTTCCTTTAGAAGAATTAAGTTTGCCAGATATCTTTAGTTTGAGCTGGGATTGTAGCTGGTATTCAAGGCCCTCAGTTAAAGCTCCAACACACACACACCCCCCAAATGAGCAGATCAACAAACTACATACGTATGTTTGTATGTATGTATACTCATATAACACATGTAGTGATATTTCATTTGTATTTTAATAAATAAAGCTTGCCTGAAGATCAGAGAGTAAAACAGCCCCACTGGTCAGCCTTATAGACCAGGCAGTGATGGCACACATCTTTAATCCCAGTAGCCACACTAGTTTTCCATAGAAATTTGGTGGTGCATTCCTTTAATCACAGCTCTAGAGAGGAATATATGATGGGAGGAGGCAGCTCTCAGACAGTCGCCTTCTGAGTTTCCTGGAGGCAGGATCATCATTTTAGACTGAGGTAAAGGAAAGAGCCAGTGGCTGTCTGTTTTGCTTTTCTGACCTTCAGATTGAACCCCAGTATCTATCTCTGGGTTTTTGTTAATTGTGCTACATATTCATGAGTACTTCCTTTTGGTTTTAATCTTTGTTGTTAATATTTTAAAACTTAAAGAATAATTTTGTTCTTTTCTTAGGTACTCTGTACTGTTACATTTGATTCATTAGAATCCAGTATTAAGTCAGATCAAATTATAACAGCTATAAAGTAAGTTATATTTTTATGTTATAATTTGTGTTCATTCACTAAAAACTCCCTTTGTCTGTGTGTGTGCACTAGTATTTTAATCTGCTCTCACCACTAGCAAACCCTCAAAGGGCATTGCTGTTCTGATTGTGTGGTTTTTGAGATAAGGCCTCAGTCTATAGCACAGGCTTCCTTCAGGTTCATAGCAATCATCCTGCTTCAACCTTCTGAGTGCTGGGATCATAGCTAGGAGCCCCCTTAGCAGACTTGGTTATTACTTTTATAGCCTGTTTCTCTGTACACTTCAGTTTCTGTCTACACAGTCAGAATTGCCAAGAATAATTCTCTGTTGGTGGACCACATTTTCTTCTAAATTGTTGGTTTGGAACACATTTGCAAAGCATTTATTCTATGATGATTACATTTAGTTTATGTCTCTTGCATAACCAAGTTCTCAGGTAATCTTTAATAAAGTTTGTATTACAAAATCGAGAACAAACACATGAGTGAAATCCCAGTTTGCTAAAAATAAGCCAGAGACTCTTAATGAAAACCGTCTGGTCTCAACTGATATGTAATTTTGTGCTCCCCTCCTGTTCCTTCAAACTCAGCAGTAAAACTATTCATCTGCTTAAGGTAATGTCTCCTTATTGCATCATGGTCCTGAATCTCAGGACTTTCTTGCCTGACTGGTGGTCATAACCTCTAATGTTTTCAGGATTGCTACCCCCACCCCTTTTTTCATGTACATAGTAAGTTAATAGGTTGAAAACTGGAGATGTATGTACTCAGTTGGTAGAGTGTTTTCCTAACATACACAAAGTCCTGGATTCGGTCTCCGTGCCACCTGTGTGGCATAGTGGTGCACACCTGTAGTCAGCACTGTGGAGGTAGAGTCAGGAAGAGCAGCAGCCCAAGGCTTATCCTTGACTGCAGCCTAGATACATGAAACCCTGCCTCTAAAAAGCAGTAATAAAAGACTTTCTTTTTTGAAAGAAAATTGTGTTCTATAATCAATCTAGAATTCAATTTTAAGTCCTAGCTATTGTCAGACACCTTGCTCTCAGCTACTCAAGGGGCCGAAGCAGGAGCATTGCCTACTAAGGGGTTTAAGACCAACCTGAAGAGCACAGCAAGAGACTATGCAAAACCAAAAACAAATTCCCATTCACTCTCTGTTCAAGTTTTGAGTTTCAGACCAGCGCTCATTAATACTTGATTGTTTTTTCTGAAAGCATAATAAATTATTTTTAGTGGTTTGTGGAAGTAAATTTGCTTATGTCCTTATAATGTTTTTAATATTATTCCTTTTTCTTGTAGTGGGGTAAAAGATAAAAATTTCATGCTGCACTATGAGGTAAGATCATTTTTCTTCAACATTTTTATTGTGAAAGATTTCTATGATATAGCAAAACTAAAAGAACTTGATAGTGTGCCCACTCCCTCAGTCCTCCCATTAACATTTTATCATTTATAAGTGAAAGCTGATTTGGTAATTATTTTATTGCTTAGAAAAGAGACCTAGATAAATAGCTTTCTAGTCAGTAATTCCCTGTTCCCAGCCCCCACATGGTGGTTTATAAACATCCCAACCCCAAATCCAACACCTTTGGGCCTCCATAGACACCAGGCACACGTGTACACAGACATGTAGGCAAAAATCTTATATACATAAAGTAAAAATAGATATTTAAATGAAATAAATTTTCATGACATTTCCTACTATCTGCGTACACAGGAAGTACTTACAAATTGCTAATTTTAGTACTGTGATACATACTTTGGATTTTTCAGACATCTTCCAGACAGACACATGGATAGAAGACACATGGATATATATAAGATAGACAGACAGACAGATAATGTACTTTTTAGAACAAAAGTGGGGTTCTATTGTTTTGTAATTTGTTTTATTGTTTTGGTAATGTATCTTAGGCATCTTTCCATGTCACTTACGTGTGTGTGTTTTGTTTTGAAGTTTCCTCCTTATGCAACCAATGAAATTGGCAAAGTTACTGGTGTAAATAGAAGAGAACTTGGGCACGGTGAGTACATTTCTAAGCTTGTGTTGTATTCTTAGAGAGCCTTAGTGCATTTTGCTCATTGTTTTGTTTTCGATTTAGGTGCTCTTGCTGAGAAAGCTTTGTTTCCTGTTATTCCCAAAGATTTTCCTTTTACCATAAGAGTCACATCCGAAGTCCTTGAGTCAAACGGTACGATATTCCAGTATTTCTTTCCTTAAAAAGACTAGAGCCTCAAGCCTGCTGCAGGAGAAAATATGTTAAGTTGATCATACCTTTGTCCTGAATCTGTTTTTAGCTACTAAGTTATTTTGAAAGCTCTTTAAAAATAAATATTCCACTTTTTGCATGTATTACAATACACCTGATTTGGGGAACTTTATTTTTTTTGCAAACAAACAACAGAGCAAGTTTATCTTGGAGGTGTATCCATCTGAAAAGGATAACTCCCACATATCAGATGAATAATAAGTGGGCATCAAGAGAGAAGCAAGGCTTACAGGTCAAAGATATATTGAATAAATTAGTCCATGAGTCAAGACTAGGTATTGTCAACTGAGGCAGAATGGGCAGAGTTCTTCAAGGTCTAGCAGGTGGTCACAGATTTTTAAGGCAACACCAGAGTTAGCCACCTTAGTCTCTCACTGCCCCTGGAGCTTGGCTGGCAGCCAGCAAGCCACAGTGATCCTCCTGTCTCTGCACCTCATTGCACACCTGACCTTACATCCCGCATTTCTGTTATGCATATTAGGGATTCAAACTCAGGTCCTGAAACTTGCACAGCAAACACTTCTGCCCAGAGTCATCTCCCAGCCCCTTAAGTGAGTTTACACAGAAAGAAGAAGACTATTTATATTCAACTGTAGTATAGTATAAGGAAATGAGACTAGTCATTTTTTTTTTTTCTGAGACAGGGTTTCTCCGTAGCTTTTTTGGTTCCTGTCCTGGAACTAGCTCTTGTAGACCAGGCTGGCCTCGAACTCACAGAGATCCACCTACCTCTGCCTCCTGAGTGCTGGGATTAAAGGCGTGCGCCACCACCGCCCAGCTGTATTTTAAGAAATCAATATATGACAAGTGGTTCTTTTTTTTTTTTTTTCAATAGGGTCATCTTCTATGGCATCTGCATGTGGTGGAAGTTTGGCATTAATGGATGCAGGTAAAAAAATTATGTCTAAAACCTGTTTGTAATGATATGTGGCACAAGGTGGGACTGCTGATCCCATGGCGAGGGACAAACACACCATTACATAGAGCTTACATGGAAAGAAGTTTATTGGGAAAGGAAAGAAGGTAGAAAGAGACAAAGACACAGAAGAAAGAGAATGGGTGTGGGTGGAGCTTGTCTCTTAAAGGAACCTTTACACCTATATAGAGTCAGGGCACTGCCTGCCATGCATGCTGGGGTGGCAACTCTGCCTCTGCCAGATCCCAAAGGGACAGGGACAGGTTTGTGATGGCCTGAATGTTTGCCTGGATGATAAAACTGTTAGTATTTTACATATATATTTCATTAGCACAGAATATAAGATTTATTTAAATTGGATTTAATAAGTCAAAATAAGATTATATATTACCAACTAGGCCAGACACAAGATAATTACAAAGTAGAACATCAGAAAGCTATTGTCTGATATTCTTATTTTCAACTAAAAGACACTGAATATTTGTAATACACTGAAAATTATATACTAGCCTTGGTGAGCCAATGAACTTTCCCCTTCCAAAACTGGAACCTTCCAGAATTGACTCCAGTCAATGAAGGAATTTCAATTAGTAAACAAAAACACTGCAGTCCGTAAGACAAAGTCACCCTGTAACCTTTGAGTCGGTTTATAGTAGCCATGGAGAAAATAGCATTCCATAAATATGCTCAGAATTTTAGGAAGGTATACTGAAAGTAGTTTGATGCAATCCCTGTCTGTGAAACTCAAAGAAAAAGGACTTCACATTTTAGGCATTTAGAGCAATATCTGGCCAACAGTTACATTGCTACTCAAAAAAAAAAAGGGGGGGGGGGGACACCAAAGGCACTACTAAAAGGATTTCTCTGCTAAGTTGTCAAATTCTCAGTTCAGATTGAAATAAAGAAAGGAGGATGCCTAAGTTAGGGTTTCTATTGCTGTGAAGAGATACTATAACCAAGAAAACTCTTATAAAGGAAAACATTTAATTGGGACTGGGGCTGGCTTACAATTTCAGAGGTCTAGTCCACTATCCGCATGGCAAGAAGCATGGTTGCATGCAGGCAGACGTGGTGCTGGAGAAGGAGCTGGGAGTTCTACATCTTGATCCACAGGCAGCAGAAGGAGACTGTGTACCACACTAGACACAGCTTGAGCATATGAGATCTCAAAGTCCACCCCTACAGTAATACACTTCCTCCAACAAGGCCACACCTCCTAATAGTGCTATTTCCTATGGGTCAAGCATTCAAACACATGAGTCTATGGGTGTCATATTTATTCAAACCACCACAGAGGATAACCCAGAGTAAGTGAAGCAGTTATGTGAGTATATTTTAATGCTACTTAGAAATATTAAAACTTAAAGCAGGACAAAGCAAAAAACTGCTAATGACCTTTTCCTAGTTCTAGTTAGTAGAGGTAAATATATTACAATTTTCTATTATTCATCTTCATTCATTCATTTTGCAAATCTTTACTATGTGATACCTAAAAATCAAGCACTGATCTAAGTTCTTGGGGAACAGTGGTGAGCAAAATAGTCATTTGTATTCATAAGAGGTTGAATTTCTCAGCCAAGTCTCATATTTAAAACAAAACGAAGTCCAGACTTCATATTTAATCCCAGCACTTTAAGCAGAGACTAGCAGATCTATATGAGTTCAAGGCAAGCCAAACTGACATAGTAATATCCTGTTTCAAAAGAACTCTGGAAAAGATTAATTGAAAGACGAAAGATTTTTTCTTTTCTCCTCAGAGAGGGTCTTAATCTAGTTCAGGCTGACCTTGAACTTGCTGTAGACAGGCTGACCATCTTAGAGAATATGCCATCATAGCATACCAAAAGACATCTTAAACTGTGGGTAGAGATCTATCTGAGACAACGGAAAAGGACTTCGAAGTTAGAATAATGCATTATATTGCCAGTGCTGATGCACTAGCATACAAGGAATAAGCAGTTTTGATTTTATAAGACTAGCACCTTCTATAAAACATGATTATAGAATGTCTTAAGACTCTTTAACTCACCATGCAGTGGTGGCGCATGCTTCTATTCACACCACTCGAGAGAAAGACACAGGCAGATCTCTGTGCATTCGAGGCCAGCCTGGTCTACAGATTGAGTTCCAGGATAGGCTCCAAAACTACAGAGAAACTGTCTCAAAAAAAAAAAAAAAAAGACTCTTAACTCATAAAAACAAACAATACAGTATAGAGGCTGGGCACATGTTAAGAGCATCTCTTTATTCAGTTCCTAGCACCTACATAATGGCTCACAACCTTCTGTAACTCCAGTCTCAGAATACCTTATGTCCTCTGGCCTTTATGGGCACTGGGCATGTATGTGGTGCTTAAACATACATGAATGCAAAGCACTCATACACATAAAGTAAATAAAAATCTCTCTTAAAAGAAGGGGATGTATTTTAGAATGAAAAGTGGCTATAAAGAGAGCAGTGGTGGTGCATGACTTTAGCCCCAGCACTTGGGAGGGATAGGCAGGCAATCTCTGTGAATTCGAGGCCAGTCTGGACTATAAGAGCTAATTCCAGGACAATTAGGGCTGTTACACCGGAAAAAAAAAAAGAAAGAAAGAAAGAAAGAAAGAAAGAAAGAAAGAAAGAAAGAAAGAAAGAAGAAAGAAAAGAAAAGAGCCAAAAGATACTAAGGAAAATAAGCCATACCCATAATTTATTTTGTTATTTTTGAAAAATAAAAATGACTAGATTCCAAGTGAGGTGGAGGAATACTTTTGACACAGTAGACCTAGAATCTGTCTTGACAGTGTATGATACCTTTATGTAAATAGTGTAGAAATTTAGACTGCATTAGGTGCATCATTCATGACTGGTTGAAGGATAAGCAGAGAGGACTGGTTAATCAGTGTGTTGTGAGAGAGAGAGGTCCCAGGTAAATACTTAAGGATGCTTCATCATCAGCCCATTCCCTTTCCTTAATAACAATGACACGACATACAGGATACTCAGGATACTAGTAAGAAGGAATATGGAAAGCTGTAATTCCAGTGGTTGGACAGTGAAGGCCAGAACATAGCAAATTTAGGGCCAGCCTAATTTACATAGCAAGACTCTGTCTCAGTGAAATGGGGGGAGGGGGGGAACGAAGAAAGGAGAGAGGAAAGAGAAAGGGAGGGAGGAAGGAAGGAAAGAAAAGAAAAAAGAAAGAGAGAAAGATAGGTAAAACATATAAGAATTGACAAGTCTTCCAACATGAATACATTAACTATGGAACAACACTTCTACCTTAAAATGGGAGATTTCTAAAGAAAGCAGTTATAGAGTTGACAAAACTGTCTAAATTGAGAAATTGCAAAGAAACTGACTGAGACCATGATATTTTGCCTAGTTTAAAGGTTGAAAAGTTATGTAGGGTCAGTCAGATTAGGAAGCATGACATGTAGCTGACCTAGAAGGCATAGCCTGTGCAAAATGATGAAGTTATAAAATAGCATGGCTGTGTTTCTCAGAGTATTCAAAAGAACCACTGAAGTAATAAATGAAACAGATTTTGAAGGCCACTTGAGCAAGGTAAAACAGGTTTGTTTGTATTTTTTGTTTACTAGCTTTTTAAGATAGATTTATTTTAATTTTACATGTATGTATAAGTACTTCCATGTCTATATGTGCATCACATGCCTGTTGGAGGCCCTCCAAGTCCAAAGTAAGTACAGTCTCCTGGACTGTAGTAGGTGGTTGTTTGCTGCCTGATGTGGTGCTGGGAACTGAACCCAGGTTCTCCACAAGAGCAGCAAATGCTCTCAACCATGAGCCATCTCTCTGCCCCCTGTTTATTTATCCAGGGTGTGTTGTTTTTGGTTTTTGAGACAGGGTTCCATATAGCTAAGGATGACCTGGGACTCCTCTAATTATCTTGCCTCTACCTCCCAAGTCCTAGGATTGCAAAGATGAGCCACACCATGTCTGCCTTAAGAAAATCTGTTTAATATGTTGAATAGGCTAATAATAAGAGCACTGAATCTCTAGGAACAGCATATACACTATGTCTATATTAGTTATTTTTCTGTTGCTGTGATAAAATACCATGACCAAAGCAACTTATGAAAAATAAAGGGTTTGCTTTGCTGCCAATCGATTTCAGAGGGATAAGATCTTAACCTGCAAACACAAAGCAGAGAGAGGCCTGATGACCTAAGTTTGATCCCAGGATCCCACAGAGTAGCAATAAAACAGACTCCAGAATTGTCCTCTCACCTCCATATGCACACGGTAGAACATGTGTCTATACTTAGACTTAAATGCACAAAATAAAATTAAAAACTTCAAAGTTTTGTTTCATCTGGAAGTGGAGTGGCATATCTGTAATCCCAAATACTTCTGAGGCAGAGGCAGAGAGATCTCTGAGTTTAAGGCCAGCCAGGACTACGCAGTGAGGTGCTATCATAATTTAAAAATAGTTTTATATATGGGAGCCATGCATGGTAGTACATACTTCATACTTGTAACTGTAGCACTTGAGAGACTAAGGCAGAAAGGTCTTATCTTATAATAATGAGGAAGCACAAATATTTTATTTATTTATTACATGTATATGGGGGTTACTACGTAGTAGGTTTTTGCTAAATAAAAAGAACAAGGTAATAGATAATGCTTATATCATGTTTCTCAGAAATAAGAATTTAAAGATTATGTTTATAATTGTAGCTGTATGCACAAATTTTCTAGAAGGCTATTCTAATAGTACTGCCATGGGGAGGTGAACTGAAAGGTTCAGGCTTGGAAAATATACCCAATAAAGGGTTTGAAGAAGGAACCAAAAGCAAAATAGCAGAGCATAGATAACTTAAGAGTTTGCTCTCTTAGGTTTTTGCCAAGTATAGTTATTATTTATTACTTTACAGGTCATTATTAAAGGATCAAAAAGAAATGAGATGGGGCCTTTTCAACTCGATTTAATGAATGAGAGAATAATGGAATAATGTCAGCAGAATTTGAGCGTGTTTCATGCTACTACATGTCTTATATACAAACCTTGTTTTTCATTATAGGGGTCCCAATTTCATCTGCTATTGCAGGTGTAGCAGTGGGATTGGTTACAAAAACCAATCCAGAGAAAGGGGAAATAGAAGATTATCGTTTGCTGACAGATATTCTGGCAAGTATATTCCCAGTTTGAAATGTTTACAAGTATATTTAAAAGTACATGCTTAGACCAGTCATGATGGCATATGCCTGAATAGGCTTAAGGCAGAAAATCACTAGTCATAGTCTAACCTAAGATGAGGTAGCAAGTTCCTGGCCACCATGGGCCATGTGGTGTGACAAAACAAAAAATGCAAAACAAATCAAAGACATATAAAAGCCTCAGCCTAGAACAGTGGTTCTAAACTTGTGGGTCCTGACCCCTTTGGAAGGGGTCGAATTACCTTTTCACGGGAGTTATCTAAGACCATTGTAGAACATAGATACATACATTGTGATTCATAATAGTAACAAAATTACTGATATGAAGTAGCAACAAAAATAATTTTTTGGTTGGGGGATCAGCACATCATGAGGAACTGAACTAGAGGGTCACTAGAAGAATGCTTGTACTTCTGGAGTATAGATACAGTGTTTATTTCCTGTTGGCCTTGGATTCTAAAGGATATGTATTACTATATCCTTATCCAGAATGGCTTCCTCTGGGATAATTATAAATTAATTTTTATGTATTTATTAGGAACAGGCATGAGCTAAACATAAGATGATATTTCCAATGGCAAGCTTTGTGCCCTGGAGCAGCAGCTGAGCGGCAGAGGTGGCTCTTGCATTTAACATTAGAGGAAACACCTTACTTCCAGAGCTAGGACTTGAAATTCTTCTACTGTGACTATAGGTGAACTTTGTTTAAAACTTTACCGTAATTTCTTAAATTGTTGAAGGGAATTGAAGATTACAACGGTGACATGGATTTCAAAATAGCCGGTACAAATAAGGGAATAACTGCGTTACAGGTACGACCTTGTTTCATTTTTTAAAATATAAATAATGACATGGACCACTGTCTATCTATTTATTTATTTATTTTGGCTCTTCTCTATTAGGCTGATATTAAATTACCTGGAATACCAATTAAAATTGTAATGGAAGCCATTCAGCAAGCATCAGGTAAGTCAGTATGCCTTATGCTGCTCTCATTTCTGTATGGCACCTTTAATTCCCACTAAGTTTACTATAAAATGCGGCTGACTGGAAGAATGTTTGCCTGTGATGCACTGGGTCAGATCCTCAGCACCATCAAAACAGAAGAATGGGGCCCTGTAACTTAACATGATCAAGTATTAATTATTGATTACATGACTGACTACCCAAATGAAAGAATAGTGAAATTTTAATTTTTACACGTTAAGCAACTTTCTGAGCTAGGAGTTTGGAGGAGTTTGGAATAGATAAGATACTTAAGGTAATTTGAATATAAAGAGTTTCCATTAGTGAGCTAGGGTTTTGATTATACACCAGAGAAAATGAGAGTGAAACTATTTCAGATCACACTTACTTGATTCAGATCACACACTTACAATTTTTATTCTGGTGGTATTTCTTCTAGTGGCAAAGAAGGAGATATTACAGATAATGAACAGAGTAATTTCAAAACCTCGAGCATCTAGAAAAGAAAACGGACCAGTCGTAGGTAAGACATTAAACTTATTACTGACAGCTTAATAAACATTAATGTTTAAACATTTATTACTATTTTAAAGTGATTTTCTCTTATCAAAATAAAAATAAGTACATTTTTGCTAACTACTTTGAAAGAAAATTCTTTTACAATTATTCATTTACTGTGTGGGGGGGGAGGGGTAGGCATGCATATGCTACACTCTGTCTGGCAGTCCGAGACCAGCTTCTGGGAATTGAAGCTCTACTTCTACCATGTGAGTGCTGGGGATTGAACTCAGGTTATTAGGCTTGGCAGCACATGCCTTTACCCGCTCAACCATCTTACCAGCCCTAGAAAATATTTAAAATGTTCTTCCCATAAGGAAATGGAAAAGTGAAAACACGTGTTTATTCAAATTTAAACATTACACTATGTATACATGTATCAAAACATCACAATAAATACATAAAATTTCTGTGTTCATATAAATCATTTAAAAGATAATTTTGTTTATGTTGAAAGAAAACCAGACTTTAAATTTGAGAACATACTCTCCTACATTTTTCAATAATTTTAATCACAACAAATTTCTTCTATTTTATAATGAAATATCTCTACATATGTTTAGGTTCCTATGTCTTTGGCTTCTTTACATGATTGTCTGAATTGCATTTCAGAAACAATTAAAGTTCCATTATCAAAACGAGCAAAATTTGTTGGACCGGGTGGATATCACATAAAAAAACTTCAGGCTGACACAGGTAAGAGTTGTCTTAAGTTTGAGGGTATCGTTAAATGCCAAATCATATAAGTTTGCTATTTTATCTCTAGTGTGTTACTCCAGAAATAGTATTTGAGAGTTAAAAGATGAGAAGAAAAGTATATGATGTATGCCTGTGAGTCTTCTATTGGAATTTTTAGTAAATCAACAAACCTTAATGCTCAGCTATATTCAGGAAGGATAAAGCAGCATGGTGGGGCATGCCTGTGATCCCAGTATTTGATGGCAGTCTGGAGACAAACATAGCAAGCCCTGTCTCAGAGAAGAGAAAGGATGACAAAATCCATCATACTTCTTCTACATTTTAAACGAACATTCCCAAATAATTTTTAGCTTTAGCTTTTTATAACTAAATAACTTAAGGGTGATTAACTCCTACTTGCGCAGTTTTGACTGAGTTTCATTTAAGCTTTTGTCTAAAGAGTATATGCAGAGACCAGGTACATTCAGGCAGGCAGCTGTCGGTCAGTTCCAGGGTAGCCTGGTCTACATATTGAGTTCCAAGCCGGCCAGCCAAGGCTACATTTATTTGAGACTTTGTTTCAAAACAAACAAAAACAACAAGAGTATATACAGAAATGGTCACATTTTAACCTGTTTCTTCTAGAAGCAATGTTGAGATGACTTAATAGTTGTATTTTGAGTTTGCTAAAAGACAAGAAGCAGAGGTGCCTTAACCAGATTAAGAGTGAGAAACTGACATGATTCATTCTCAAGGTGGAAAATAAAAGAGGACGATGAAAGTGGTCTGCTACAATCCCTAGTCACAATTGAAGAGTAAAACAAAAGCCTTAAAAATTAGCCTTGCTGGGGTAGGACATGGCTCACTGTTATATCCATAGGACCTAGTAAAATTAACCCTGCTGGCCAGGCAGTGGTGGCGCACACCTTACATCCCAGCACTGAGGAGGCAGAGGTAGCCTGGTCTACAAGAGCTAGTTCCAGGACAGGCTCCAAAGCTACAGAGAAACCCTGTCTTGGGGGAGGAAAAATAAATTAGCCCTGCCGGGTTACGGCATGGTTCACTGTTACATCCATGGGACCTAATACAGTGCCAGGCACTTGGTGCGAGAGCAGTGTGTGCTTCATGGTGAGTGACTATCACTAAGGAACAGTCATCAGCACAGAAGAAACCCACCCCAGCTGCTTCCAGATCTCTCCCTGTTCTCACATTCCTTTTTAGATTCGTCTCCTCTGGCACGAATTTGTTAATTTTAATGTGTTATCTCTTTTTTGACCCCCATCCCTCACCATGATGCTGGGTTTCTTCTAAAGGTGTAACAATTAGTCAGATTGATGAAGAAACCTTCTCCATATTTGCACCAACACCTAGTGCAATGCATGAGGCAAGAGACTTCATTACTGAAATTTGCAGAGATGATGTAAGTACAGATCTTAGTAGTTTTCCTATTTTTTTTCCTGTTATCTTTATTTACCTAATGATTTTTTATTTTACAGCAAGAGCAACAGTTAGAATTTGGAGCAGTTTATACCGCTACAATAACTGAAATCAGGTAATTACAAATAAACAGTGGGTTCGATTTTTTTGGGGGGGGGGGTTGAGAAAGGGTTTTGTTGAAGCTTTGGAGCCTATCCTGAAACTTAACTCTTGTAGACCAGGTTGGCCTTGAACTCAGAGAGAACTTGGGAGGCCTGCTTCTGCCTCCCAAGTGCTGGGATTAAAGGCGTGCGCCACCATTGCCCAGCATGAGTTCAATTTTTACTGCAAGCCCAGATTCACTTTGTATTTAGATATATGCCAATAACTCTGTGTGTGTGTGTGTGTGTGTGTGTGTGTGTGTGTGTGTGAGAGAGAGAGAGAGAGAGAGAGAGAGAGAGAGAGAGAGAGAGAGAGAGAGANTGTGTGTGTGTGTGTGTGTGTGTGTGTGTGTGTGTGTGTGAGAGAGAGAGAGAGAGAGAGAGAGAGAGAGAGAGAGAGAGAGAGACAGAGAGAGAGACAGAGAGAGACAGAGAGAGAGAACATTTGTGTGTAGCTGGGAGTGACTGTTTTCTCTCATTGTATGTGTTGATTGTTGATGTTTTGTCTGCATGGATGTCTACCCACCATGCCTGAAGAGACAAGAGGAGGAGGAGGAGGAGGAGGAGGAGGAGGAGGAGGAGGAGGAGGAGGAGGAGGATGTTGAGGATGTTGAATCCCTGGGGACTAGAGTAGACAGTTATGAGCCACTAGGCAGGTGCTGGGAATCGGAACCTGAGTTCTCTGGAAGACCAGGAAGTGTATTTAACCACTGAACTTCCCTCCAGCTCCACCCCCTTTTGTGTTTTGCTATGTTTATTATCTGTTTTATACATACAGCTATTTGGCATACATATTTATTACAACATATGTGTGTCTGGTGCCCACAGAGGTCAGAAGAGGACATCAGATTCTCTTGAACTAGATATGTGGATGCTGAGACTCAAACCTGGGTCCTCTGGAAAGCAGCCAGAGGACTTAGTTGCTGATCCATCTTTGACTCTGAACTTCTGATCCTCCTGCTTTCACCTCTGGAATACTGGGAGGTGTGCACCACGGTGACTTGTTTTTATAGTGCTGGAGCCAACCCCTCGGCTGTGGGCATGTGAGCCCTCTACAGCTCAGCTACACCTCTAGCCCCATCGAATTCTTTTTGTTTTCTTAGCTAATTTTATTTTCTGTGCCACTGTAGTTTTCAGTAACATGTTTTATAATTATAATAGATTCTGACATGAGAATTTTTTTCTTAAACCAAATTTTTTACCATATTTTATTTTCAAACTATATTTTTACCAGTTTTATTTTCCCCCAAACCATAAACCTAAAACTTACAAATTAGTATTTCCTTTTTATTGTTGTTTTTGTTTCTACGGCATCACTTGATACTTAATTAACACATTTTTAAATCACTTTCAACCTCAAAAGTATTTTTACCAGCTGAGATTATCTCAAGATGTCACTTCTGCCAGGCGGTGGTGTCTCACGTCTTTAATCCCAGCACTCGGGAGGCAGAGGCAGGTGGATCTCTGTGAGTTTGAGGCCAGCCTGGTCTACAAGACAGGATCCAAAGCTACAGAGAAACCCTGCTTTGAAAAACAAAACAAACAAAAAAAAAAAAGATGCTACTTCTTTTAAAAAAAAAAAAAAAACCAGGAAGAATTTATTTATTTAGAATATTTCTTGAAAGGTTTTTAAAAGTAATGAAAGGGAATGGGATAATCTGTTTAACATTACAGGTGAAAAACAAGCAATGCAATTGATTGTTTTCAGACTAGGGAAAAGAGGAAGAGAACTTTTTACAACCATCCATTCATAGTTCCAGGAGATGATGCCCTCTTCTGACCTCCACATGGTGCACAGACATACATATATATTTATAGGCAAAAATGTACATATTAAATAAATATAATAAAATGTTATGAATTCTGAAGAGAAACACAAGTGAATACATATTACAAAAACTTTTCCTTTATCTTCTTTTTTTTTTAATTTTTATTTATTTATTTATTAAAGATTTCTGTCTCTTCCCCACCGCCGCCTCCCCTTTCCCTCCCCCTCCCCCAATCAAGTCTCCCTCCCTCATCAGCCCAAAGAGCAGTCAGGGTTCCCTGCCCTGTGGGAAGTCCAAGGGCCACCCACCTCCATCCAGGTCTAGTAAGGTGAGCATCCACGAAACTGCCTAGGCTCCTACGAAACCAATAGGTACAGTAGGATCAAAAACCCATTGCCATTGTTCTTGAGGTCTCAGTAATCCTCATTGTCCACTATGTTCAGCGAGACCGGTTTTAACCCGGGCTTTTTCAGACCCAGGCCAGTTGGCCTTGGTGAGTTCCTGATAGAACATCCCCCTTGTCTCAGTGTATGAGTGCACCCCTCACGGTCCTGAGTTCCTTGCTTGTGCTCTCTCTCCTTCTGCTTCTGATTTGGACCTTGATATTTCAGTCCGGTGCTCCATTGTGGGTCTCTGTCTCCTTTCATCGCCTGATGAAGGTTAATATTCAGGAGGAAGCCTATATGATTTTCTTTGGGTTCTCCTTCTTATTTAGCTTCTCAAAGAACCTGAATTATAGGCTCAATGTCCTTTATTTATGGCTAGAAACCAAATATGAGTGAGTACATCCCATGTTCCTCTTTTTGGGTCTGGTCCTTTATCTTCTTGTTCATTTTTTTAGTCACAGGTATTTAAATATAGGGCATAATTTCATACTGAGAAACAATTATTTGGGCTCAGGATATGTGGTGTATTATTAATGATCTTATTATGTATGAGGTCCTAGGTTCAATTCCAAGTACTAATAGGAAAGAGAAGGACAGAGACAGCAAGATAATATAAGAGAAGTATATTTGTTATGTAATCATAATTTTTATAATCATAAGAATGTGTCCTAGAAGCCAGGCATGCTGGTACATGTACACACCTTTGGTTCCAGTACTCGGTACTCGGGGCAGAATCAGGTGGATCTCTGTGAGTTCAAGACCAGCCTGGTCTACAGAGTGAGTGAGTTTCAGGAATATACAGAAAGACCCTGTCTTAAAAAAAAAAAAAAAAAAAGGCAAGAAGAATAATATATCCTAGAATGTAGTCTGGAGATTAGTGTGACACCTGTTTCTGTGAAAGCATCAGCTGTGTGTGTCGGTCCGTGTACTTACTGTTTTAACAAACCTGATGTCTTTTTGTAGAGACACTGGCGTAATGGTAAAACTGTACCCAAACATGACTGCTGTGCTACTTCATAACACGCAACTTGACCAGCGAAAGGTAAGAAGGCCAGATTTGTGTGTGTGTGGTGAGTGTGCACGGTGTGAGCACACACGTGTATGCATGGAGAACAGAGAAGCCTAGGGTGTCCTGCTCTGGGACTCCCACCTCCTCTCAGTCCCTTTAGTCTACCATTCCTCATCCAGGCTGGTGGCCAGCACTTTAGAAAAGATCTTCCCTTTTCTATTTCGCACAACACTGGGGTCATAGTCACATGCATAACTCTTGCTGGCGATTTATACAGACGCTGAGGATTTGAACTTAGGTCCTCATTTTTGTGCAGCAAATATCCTTATTTTCTGAACCATCTCCCCATCTCAGACTTAACTTTCTGTAATTGTTAGAAATAACTAATATTAAAATTACCTAAATGTTGAGAATTGGACATTTTGCCTAGTTACAGTCACCAGCCACTAATGTTTGCAGTGATGAAATGTAAAGAAACTGAACAGCCCTCTTTAAAGGACTATAATTTGAATATTCGTCTACATTGCTTCAGTTATTCATATGAAAGGAAATTTTTGGGTTTTTGTTTGTTTTTTCGTGATATTTCAAGACAGGGTGTCTCTGTAACAATCTTAGCTGTCCTGGAACTCACTTTTGTAGGCCAGGGTTGCTTTGATCTTGCAGAGATCTGCCTGCCTCTGCCTCTTAAGTGCTGGGATTAGTGGCATATGCCATCTCTACCTATGGTACAGAGGAGCTAATCAGCCACAACCTAGGTGGCAAATTTAGCTTTTGCTCATAAAGACAAAGGGTTAAAGATACACAATAGAAACAGATTTAGTCTATGGCCATACCACCCTGAATGCGCCCGATCTTGTCTGAACTCAGAAGGTAAGCAGGGTCGGGTCTGGTTAGTACTTGGATGGGAGAAACAGATTTAGACAAAAAGGCCTCTAAATGGGCCACTGCTTGCTGGAATAGATGGTTCTCTGAGGAGAAACCCAACTATTGATTAGGATTTACTAGCTAGGAGGCGTCACCCTCTGAAGCTTGAAGTGAGGTCCACACATCAACATGTGACTTTTGTGCAAACCTTGTTGTGGCTAGTGTAGCTCCTTCCATTCACGGCATTCGGTTCCTTCCTTCCTCTTACTCCAGGAGGAAGACCCAGTAAGTTCCACTGGATGTGATGTCTCCCTACATTTCCCAGTTAGGAGGCGGTGTGCCATTCCAGCCTTTCCATCACCTGTGTTTGCCTCCCTAGTGGAGGATGCCTTCCCCACCCGGAGGGCTCATGCACAGACTTGAGTGAGCCACATCCCCAACCCATGTTTTTTTGTTGGTTTGTTTTTTTGAGACAGGGTTTCTCTGTAGCTTTGGAGCCTGTCCTGGAACTAGCTCTTGTAGACCAGGCTGGTCTCAAACTCAGAGATCCGCCTGCCTCTGCCTCCCGAGTGCTGGGGTTAAAGGTGTGTGCCCCCATGCCCAGCCTCAGCCCACATTTATACTGTACACTAAATAGACATTTGAAGGGCTGGGCACTGAAGTGGTAACAGTAGTTTTCATTTCCTTCTGATTACTTTTATGTTGTTTGCAATGTTTGTAATTAATAGATTTCATTAGAAAAACAAATATAGCTATTCACTTAGAGAAAGGTGTTGACTTCTGTGGTTACTGGATAATTACATATAACTAATTAAATTTTTTTTTTTTTTAGATTAAACATCCCACTGCCCTAGGATTAGAAGTTGGTCAAGAAATTCAGGTATTTATGTTCAGTGTATTATCTTTAAAGGTGTGAATTGAACTTCAGATTCCAATTAGTATCTATGAAGGAATAGAGTAAGCACCTTTGGCTTGTATTTTTGTACACTGCTTCTTTAAGAAGTCAGGGTGGCTTAAATCAGACTTGCTAATAAGCATTAAGAGTAAGATCTTTTCCCTCAAGTAGATCATAATTTAGCTTTAGAGAGAGAGAGAGAGAGAGAGAGAGAGAGAGAGAGAGAGAGAGAGAGAGAAGAAAAACTCCACCCTTAGAGTTGTGCAGACTTGTCATTTGGAGACAGACTTGATAACATGGTGGAAAGCTGTGTCATCTTGGAGCAGGTGAGACTCTGTACTTGACATTAAATGTTTGTGAACTAAGAGTACTGCTGCTGAGGTCTAGAATTCTGATAGTAAAACTGGCCCTGTCTTGTAGTGCTCTATCAGTGAACAGAAGTTGTTGCTGATCTGGGAGTGTATTCCCCATCTGGGCTTCTGTTGCTTAAGCAGCTCTGGGGAAAGATGAAGGCCAAGAGAGCATCTCTCCATGTGTTTGTGCTGTACATCAAAGGGGACTTTCATGGAACAGTATACTCTAGTGCAATGGTCCCCAAGTCATAGAGAAAATACAAAGCCCTTAACTGAATTGTGACTTTGGACTTACAGTATAGGGACTTAGAAACCATAAAAAGGCACAGTTAGTTTATCAGAAACAAAACTAAATGTCTGCTCTCTTTTGCCCTGTTTGGTTGATTGGTTTATTTTAGTCAGTGTCTCAGGCTAGCATCAAATCCAAACCTCCTGCTGAGTGCTGGGACTCCAATAGGGCACTATACTTTGATTCCTTTTGTCTTTTTATAACAGCTATTTCATCAAAATATAGTTACTGTGTCTCTAATGATTACTGAGCAGTGCTTTTATTAGACACATATTAATTATTGCCTTATTTGCACAACGTAAATTTAAATGTCTTTGAAAGTACATGTCAACTTTAAATATGCTTCTTTTACATAGGTCAAATACTTTGGCCGTGATCCAGCTGATGGAAGAATGAGGCTTTCCCGCAAAGTCCTTCAGTCTCCAGCCATTACGGCTGTCAAAACTCTAAATGATAGAAGCAGCATTGTAATGGGAGAGTCTATGTCACAGTCATCATCCAACTCTTCCCCTTGACTCCTGTTGGAAATGGTATTCAACAGTGATATTCTGCAAAGCAAACTTTAACAGTCCCGTTTAATGTGTAGATTTCTATATAATTTAAATATAATATTTGTATTAAAATGCTCTTTTCTGTAGGCGGAGTTTTCTGTATTGCCAGCCAGTTCCCAAATGACAACACAGAGACTTACTATTAATTGTGAAAACTCAGCCAATAGCTTAGGCTTGTTTTTAGCTAGCTCTTATAACTTAACCCATTTCTAATCTATGTGCTGTCCAGAAGCTTGTTTACCTCTTCTACATA